CTGAGCTCTGAACGAGCTCTGATGTTACGTTTTGTTCGTTATACATATGAATGTATCTTCTGAAAAATACATTCTCATCCTAAAGCAGTGGTTTGAAGTAGTGTGGGTTTATTTACAAAGATAGTTTCTAGAACATATTTAGCAGTTTTTAACTTTTGGTGAAAGCAGTCTGTAGCAAATTACATACCACTGGTATTTTTCCCAAAATATTACTATAGCATATTCCCAGACAGCAGTAAAATACTTCTTTATTTGTCCTGTATCATTTATTTAAAATCAAGTACTTTATGTTTACTTTAAATCATGTATACTGGTGCTTTGTTCTTAGTCCTTGGGAGGTTTTTTTTCTGGTGACAATCGTTTGCTTTATTGAACTTTTATCTTGTTGTTTACTGAAATTGATGAACACTGTGAGAGTTGTCTTGCGGTTGGTAGCTTTTTAACATTAATTGTTTCTAAGCTGTCTTTGACTACAGGTATATTTGATTCATATGCTACTTAGTACTCTTGTGTTTGGAAGTGCCAGACTGCTTCAGACAGACAGTGTGATTAAATAGGTAATTTTCTTACTTAAACAATACCCATGTAAATTGCAAAAGTTCTTAAAATGAGAAATTGGCAAAGCTAAATTATTTGTATTTATCTGTATAGATCAAGAAATTAGCCTTTAGTTTTTTACAATTAAAAGTGAAGAAAAGATGTGTTTATATTCCCCTAACCTTCAATTCTGTGTGTGTGTGTGTGCGTGTGTGTATACGCATAGCATTCTAGCCATGTTGACCTTTTTATCTCTTGCATTCTTTCCTTCAGTGTTCAAGGATACTACAGTATCTTATCTATTAAAAACAAAAACCTTATGTCCCTTAGTTCCCCTCCAACTACCATTCCATTTCTCTACTCCCCTTTATAGCCTCATTCTTTGAAAGGGTTCCCTATAATCACTGATTGTGCTTTCTCGCTTCCTGTTCTGTAATCCAGCTCCAGCAAGTCTGGAGCCTTCTCCAGCCTAGTAAATCTACCCTTTTCCACCGGTCACATACTAATTGCTAATACTTGATTAGTTCCTGGTCCTCATCTTAATGAACCCCTCACTAGTATTGTTCTTTTCCCTAAAGATACCTTCTTCAGTTGGCTGCTGGTTCCTTAGAATTTGTCTGATAAAAAAATAGAGAGAGGGAATTTGTCTGATCATGAAGCATGAGCTTCCCTCAGGACTCAGCCTTTGATCCTCTTCCCTGGCTCCAGTGCTCTCTGGGGACCTTTAATTCCTTCCCAGTTGACGATGCCCAAGTTTTCATTTAATGGCTGCCCCCTAGTTGATTTACCCAATTTCCTATCAGTATATCTTTGCATTCATTTGGTTTTATGTTTTTAAAATTAGGGTGCTGTACAAGTATTCTCTTGCACATAATCTCTGTGTGTTTGTGGGAGCACTTTTTAAGTAAACATCCTAGAAGTAGAAAAGCTAGATCTGAAGATATGGACCTTTACATTCTAGTAGATATTACTGAATGCCCCTCTTTGCTTTTTACTTTTTCTAACTTTCCAGACTGATTTTAATTGACTTTGCAAGAACAAATTTCTTACCAGTTTAAGTGTAAAGAAGTCTGTTCGTTTTTACAATAAATTTTGTACTATAAATATCTTACTCTTGAGATCTAAATAGATTGGGATACTGTGTCATTATTGTAGAGCCAAAATGTGATTCATTATCTAGAAAACATGAATTTTTACATGAAGCTGAGGAACAGAGAACACATTTTTCCCCTTTCATGGTGTCAGATTTGATTACTGGTTATCACTAATTTAAATTGCATAATCTGTCAGCTTCATTATACCAGAGCAGTGATTGGTTTGTTTTTAAAATTGATGCTGTTCTTTGGAGGTTTTTAAAAAGATGGCTTTGAAATTCTTGCAGAATTTCTCCATAGAAAGAAAATTAACTGAAATTAAAACTATTGTGAGGAATTTCTGTTTGAGATAATTGATTTGAAACTAGGGAGTAATCAATAACTTCTGGAAGATTTTAAAACAAATTTAAAAGGTAGTAACACTTTCCATATTGTGATTTCCCTTGGAGAAGGTAGCGGAGAGAAACAAATTTTCTTTGTAGTAACTCACTAATGAATTATTTTGACAGCTCACAGTTTTGACTAAATGGATGAAGCAGGTACCTCCTGGGAATTCTTTCTGCTTATGTCAGTGCTGAATCAGCAGTAAATTAAAACCTTTTGTTGTCAAAAATTTTTTTACTCTCTCCAGTTTGTTTTCTGTTGTATCATTCATCACATGAAAGGGAATTATTTAATATATTTGAAACATTTAGAAAATACATTTGGCAAACTAGAATTCCTATGATAAGCTATTTGTTTTTAAGACAAAGATTTCTGTTGTCATAGAAGTATTCTTTTAAACCATTCTTGCTATTTAATTTCAAATTCAGGTTTACAGACTGCAGTTCTACAGACACTATCTTTCTTTTTTTTTTTTTTTTTTTTTTTTTTAGAGATGGAGTCTTGTCTTACCACCTGGGCAGGAGTGCAGTGGCACAATCTGAGCTCACTGCAACGTCCGCCTCCCAGGTTCAAGCGATTCTCCTACCTTAGCTTTCCAAGTAGCTGGGACTGTAGGTGTCCGCCACCACACCCAGCTAATTTTTTGAATTTTAGTAGAACAGGGTTTCACCATGTTGCCCATGCTGGTCTTGAACTCCTGGGTTCAAGTAATCCACCTGCCTCAGCCTCCCAAAGTGCTGGGATTACAGGCATGAGCCACTGCACCCAGCTCAGAGACTGTCTTTCTAAAGCAGCAGCAGATTTGGGTCTAGTATCAGTGTATGGGGATGTCCTTTTCAAATTCTGTAGTCAGAATGACTCCTCTGAAGTTGTTGCTAAAGGATTCTTTGCCTATACATTGCATTAGAGATCATTTCTTTAAAATATAGACAAAGCAAAGGTAAAGAAGTTATTTGCCCTCTTTTTACCAGGATGATGAATGACATTTACTTGGTGTAAACCATTTGAAATTCATTTTGTCTTTCATGACTTATAGAAAATATTTTTTGAATTAGTATTGTAGGATATGTCTCTTTTTATACTGGAAAGAAAGAAGGGATAGTTTCTAGCCTTCAGAGCATGGGTGCCCATAATAATAGCACCTGTCATCTCTTGGACTCCTATTACCTAAAGTGATAGGCACCATAATGAGTGCTTCACATGTATTGTCTCAGACAGTCTTTGCAAATAACCCAATGCAATAAGGACTCTTATTCGTACTTGGAGATAAGGAAGTTATCTCTAAATAATCTTAAGAGATTAAATACTTTGCTCAAAGTACATAGCTAAGAAGTAGTAGGATTTGCATCAAATATTCTGACTCCAGAACCAATACCCTTCATCACTGAGCTCTGCTACCCAATTAAATTTTCCATGTAAAAGTGACCAGTGAAAGTTGGCATAGGCTCATACTTACGGTGTATGATTTTTAGGCTTAGCCCTGAACCTCTGGTCTTGTCATATACCTCTCGTGCAGCATTCTTATGCATACCCTTGAATTCAAGTGTTATCTGTGTAGTGGAGAAATTTTTTTTAACTACAACTAAAACATGTCTTAAGACATTTTCACTTGTGATTTTTTTTTTTTTTTTGCTGTTTTTTTGTGGGGTTTTTTTTTATTTGTTTTTTATGTGTTTGTTGTTTAGTAGCCACCTTGAATGTAGCAGTACCTACCCAATAATCTACTCCTCCTTTAGAGTTCTGTATCTTAGTAAGGGCAACCATCTGTTCACCCCTAAAACCTAATACCTGGTGTCTTCCTTCACTCAACTTTCCTCTTATCCACACATCTAGAAAGTAGTACCATGTCTCCCTCCTTAGCATTGCTTGAGTACATCCACGTCTTCCATTCCATTCTCCCTCTCTGGGCTACATTGCCTCTCAGACCACTGTTACAACCTTTAAACTGGTTGCCTTGCATTCAGCCTTACTTTTTACATACTTTCCACTCTTTAAATAAAATGTGAGCATGTCACTCCTACATAAAACTTTTCACTGTGGTTCCATTGTTCTTAGGATAAAAGTTCAAACTCCTTATTAAGACTTGTAAGGTCTCCTCCAGTCTGGCTTCCTCAACCTCTTTAGCCTCTTCTCGTCCACTTTGCCACTTGTTTGACTCCTGCCACCTTAACACCTATCTGAGTACTCCTACCCACCCTACCCCAGAGCCTTTGATTCAGTGCTACTCCTGCATACTCTTGAGGTTCAATTGAAACCTCAGTTCCTGAAAGGGAAGGCTTTCCTTTCTATAACATCCATTACACACTTGCTTAATGTCTCTCTTCCTGGCTAGGCAGTAAGTTCTGCATAGCAAAGACCTCTGATCCACCTCATTTCTAGCACCTAGCGTAAAAGAGATACTCAGAAATATTGTGTAGAATAAATTGCAGATGCAGTCTCTACCCTTAACAAGCTCAGTCCAGTGGGAACTAGAGTATGGTAAAGAAGTAACTTCCATACATGTGGTAAGTACTCTGATAAAATGCCACAGGATTGCAGAGGAGTGTGTGAGTGGTTAACTTTGCCTTGGGGAGCATTTTCCCTTTATTCCTCTGTATTAATGAAGAAATTGACTTACAACATTCAGAAAAAAGGAGAGCTGTGCTGAGCAGTAGAATTGATTCACTTGCATTTTGCTTTATTTTTGGCTTACTTGTTGGGCAGGAGTTTTACAGCAGACTTTTAATATTCTAAGGTTATATATCAGGAACTTCAGAAAGTCTAACCTAGATATGGATGCTAAGTAGTCAGCTACTCATGCCCACTAAATTAACTAAACCAAGTCCTCCCTAATCAAAATCATTGCTAGCCCTTTTATGTTGCCAGTTATAAATTGGGAATCATTTCTCTTTGCCTTCAAATTGTAACAGCCAAAACTGATGGTATTGAATCCGTGAGTACCAGAGGTGTTGTTCATGTTTAGATTTTTGTTTCTTGTCATTCCAGCTTTGACTGCCATTGAAGGCACAGCACATGGGGAGCCCTGCCACTTCCCTTTTCTTTTCCTAGATAAGGAATATGATGAATGTACATCAGATGGGAGGGAAGATGGCAGACTGTGGTGTGCTACAACTTATGACTACAAGGCAGATGAAAAGTGGGGCTTTTGTGAAAGTAAGTATTGTTCAGGAGGAGGCAGATCCTCATTGCTATATGTCTAGGGCAATGTTTTTAAGGCCTTTTTCTAGCCATCTTTTTCCACATTTGTCAAAAATAGCCAGTGTTACTGATGTGGTTATATAGCCTTAAAGAGTGGATTTAAAAATGGGAAGCATGTGGTATATTTATTTTCAGGCTGTCAAGTCATGCATTTTATTTAGAGATGGTTTTCCATTGATATATACAGGTTGTTTGGTTAAACCCTTCAGGGCAGGTTGGTAAATTAATTAACTTAAAACTTTTTTTTAGCAGTAAGGGAAACTGGGCCATTATGGAGAAGGTTAATAGTAATTAGTAGAAAAATAACTTTTCACAAATACTTAGAGTGAAATATGGTATACCAAGGTAACATTTGACAAATATAGTCTATTTAACCATCTTTAGTGTAAATGTCATTATAAAGATGCTATTACAGACTTTTCAAAAGTTATTTTGCTCCTGTAAGAACTCATCAAAAGATATATACTTCATTAGAGCCAGTATTTATAGAAACAGAAGCATCTTCCTGACCAGGAAGCATGATGCTGGCATCTGCTTGGCTTCTGGGAAGGCCTCCAGAAACTTACCATGTGAGATGCAGCTGTGTCATATGATGGGAGCAGGAGTGAGAGAGATGGTGAGGAGCAAGGTGCCACACTTTTAAATGACCAGATCTCGTGAGAACTTACTATTACGGGAACAGGACCAAGGGAATAGTGCTAAACCATTCATGAGAAACCACCCCTATAATCCAGTCACCTTTCACCTGGCCCTACCTCCAACACTGGGGATTACAATTCAACATGAGATTTGGTGGGACATTGATCGAAAAAGCATATCGCATATAATCTGAAATTTTAGTTGAGTTATATTTAAAAAGTTAGCATTACTAACAGAAAACTACCTTCTAAGAGTGGCTTGGTATTGGTATTTCTATAAGAAAATGATTTCCATGAATTATATATATATATTTTTTGTTTTAAGTTTTATCTCGTGTCATGTCAAGGCCACATTTAAGTGTTTTTAGAATCATATTTGAGAATAGTGGAAGATCATTCATTATGTTTGTATGACTGTCCAAAAGAAAGAATAAATACTGATGGTTGATAATTGGTATAGAATTAAAATCCATTTAAATGCATCTGACATTTTGTTTTTAGCTGAAGAAGAGGCTGCTAAGAGACGGCAGATGCAGGAAGCAGAAATGATGTATCAGACTGGAATGAAAATCCTCAATGGAAGCAATAAGAAAAGCCAAAAACGAGAGTAGGTAGCACTGCTAAGTCCACTTTTCCCCCGAGACAGGCCATTACTGAGACACATAGCAACCACATTTTTAAAAAAATGGATTGCCAGAGACACAGAAGATTTTTTTCATGTTCCGTTACAAGTAAACGTAACATGACTTACAGGCATTAGTAGTATTGCTTTTACCACACTTTAGTTTATTAAAGTAAAATTGTTACACATACTAATTACAATAACAAACAGTGAGTCAAATGGCAATGATTGACTCAAGTTGTAGTAGTTTCTAAGAATCTAGAATCTATATACTATTTAGAATTCAAAATGATATAAAACAAAATTGTTGTCAAGTATGTTTCTTATTTTTGCTTTGTAATTTTTGACTAGAATTTAGAAATTTGTGCTTGGAAAAAAACATAACAAGTGATTATCTTGTAACATCTTACGTCCTTTTAATTTCAACTGACATTTTTATAGCCTGCAAAGATTTAAAAAGAAAATTGCAACAGTTATTATTAAATCATATACTGTACACCGTCAAATTGTAATTCTCTTATTGCAAATCTGGTTAACTTTTTTAATGAAAGTTTTTAGAATTAGTATAATTAGACTATTCCAAGATATGAGGATAACAGGGAGAACTGGTACCTTAGATGAAAAACAAAACTGCCTGCCAATCTGGGCAATATAGTGCAACAGAAAACTTAAAAAATCAGCCAGGCATGATGGTGCACACCTCTGGTCCCAGCTACTTGGGAGGCTGAGGTGGGAGGATCATTTGAGCTTGGAAGGTAGAGAGGCTACAGTGAGCGGTGATCATACCACTGCACTCCAGTGTGAGCAACAGAGGAAGACCCTGTCTCAAAAAAATAAATAAAATAAAAATAAAATCAGGATGTTATCTACATATGTAAGTAACATGACTGAATAGAAATAAGATTATCAGAGGGGTGGCTAGGTGTGGTGGCTCACGCCTGTAATCCTAGCACTTTGGGAGGCCAAAATGAGTGGATCAGCTGAGGCCAGGAGTTTGAGACCACCCTAACATGGTGAAACCCCATCTCTACTAAAAATGCAAAATTAGTCAGGCGTGGTGGTGCATGCCTGTAATCTCAGCTACTTGGGAGGCTGAGGCAGGAGAATTGCTTGAACCCAGGAGATAGAGGTGGCAGTGAACTGAGATTGTGCCATTGCACTCTAGCTGGGGCAACAAGAGCGAAACTCCGTCTCCAAAAGTAATAAAGATGATCAGAGGAGTTTTGTAACATAAGGAAATTATTTATACTGCATTTTAGTAGATCAAAAAACCTTCCTGGCAGTTTCAGAACATTACTAATTTGATGTTTAATTGTTTACATTTAAAGAGCATATCGGTATCTTCAAAAGGCAGCAAGCATGAACCATACCAAAGCCCTGGAGAGAGTGTCATATGCTCTTTTATTTGGTGATTACTTGCCACAGAATATCCAGGCAGCAAGAGAGATGTTTGAGAAGCTGACTGAGGAAGGTTCTCCCAAGGGACAGACTGTAAGTACATTCTCAGTGAAGAATCTCTCTGCACGTAGCACTTGTTTTTAAAAGCAGTTTACTCTCTATGTCCTGACTTCTTTTAAAAAGTCAGACTGGAAGATAAAGTATCTTTAAATACCAGTTTTGTGCCTGATCATTTTACACTCTTCTTTGATAGTCTTTTTCCTTAGTCTGGGAACATTTATGATCAATGAAGACATTTTTGCAATTGTGTCTGGCCACAATTACATTTGTACTTTTCCAAATTTAATCTGTATAGAATGAAATATGAAGGTAATTATTTTTTATCTGAAATTACTCACCATTGCATTTTTTAAAATTCAGATGTTGCAGCTCATGTTAATCTTGGTGGTTTTTTTAAAAACTTTTATTACAGAAGCAGTATGTGTTCATTATAGGAAACTAGAAATGCAAACTGACAAAACTAAGAAGTACACATCACATATGTACCACCCAGATATGAGTAATAATATACTAGCATGTACATATCCTTCTATAATAGATCTTTCTCTTTGTGTATATATACACGATATTTTTATTAAAATGAGATACCACTCTCTATTATTCTAGAACTTCACCTTTTCATCCTAGTAAATTTTAAGTCATATAATACCCACACTATGTTCATATGATGTTGAACCCCAAAATTTTCTTTATACCTGTTTTGTCCAAACCAGTAATCAGTTCAGTACTATATCCTACATTTGGTTATCTGGTATAGCCCAATGCCTTTTTTGTCTGTGTTAGAGATAGGGCCAGTTTTTCTGCAGAATATCCTACCTCTGTTTGTTTTTTCATGGTGGCTTTTAGTTTGTTTCTTCTTCACCTGTATTTCCTGTCAGTAGGAAGTCACAGCTAAAGGCTGATGAACTCAAAATATTTTTGACTAGACTACATTACAAGGGATGTTCTGTATTCTACATTGTATCACATTAGTTGATAACGTATCTGGTTGTTTCCCCATTAATAATCCTAAGATTGACAACTGGTTTTAGGGGGCCATCATATTTATTTAAAATTCCTTCAATAATTCAAGTTTATTCAAGCTGAGAGACATGCTTAAAGATAAACAAAATATCTAATCACAAGGAAAGTCTGTTTTCAAACTGTTCAGACAATAGCAGAAGTCATAACGGTTATTTTCTTAGAACTGAATACCTAACGCTTCTGCAGCTCTTTCCTCGGTATTTTATTATAAACAGATGATATCTTAATTGTTCCCCTTTGTTTTCAAAGCTTTTTCCCTTCTTTGCATGAATCAGTTTATATAAAATTAACGTATATATTCTTTATTTTCAGAGGCATTCTGCTCTGAAGAAAATTTTTAACTTTTTAAGGCATCAGTTCCATCTAATATTAGAGCCTTACAAAGCCACAGCACTTTATATGTTGCAAAGCACTCTCTCCTTGAAAATTAATTCTAGTTGATACAACAAAGCCTGAAATCACAGTGGCTTAACACTACAGAGAGTTATTTCTTGCTCATGCTAGATTTGATGAAGCTCTCCTGTTTGCGCCACTCTTTTCTGAATAGGGACTCCTGGTCATGGGCTGCTTCTGTTACGTAGCTACACTGACTGCTACACAGAGCTTCCAAGCCATGGTGAAGTGAGAAAAGAGAGCCTCAGGATTCATTAGGATGTTTTCAGGCTTACATCCCTGATAGCCATATCCCAGGCATGTGATTCTGCCAGGAGGCTGGGAAATGCAGAGGAGCTCATGATTCCAGTGAGCAATTCAGTCTCTGCCACACCTGCCTTTGTCACATTAGCTTGTACTTCCCTGCCATCAAGGATGATCCACAGAAGGCAAAGGGTTGAAAAGGTTGAACTTCACCAATGCATTGTTTGTTCCATATTTTTTTTAATTTTTAGAAAACCATTTGTGTGCTAGCATTGTAGAGCAGCGTTTCTCCCCTGACCCCTTCAACTTGATCCCGTGCTGCCTTTTTTTATATGCGGGATAGTTTATCTTGGTAATTCATCTCTTGTCCGTTTTCATAGTGTATCCCTCTCTGTGTAGAGAAATATGCTGATGTACCAATAACAGGAGTTGTCTTCATAATGGCTGTTCATAAAGATGAAGTAAAAGTCATGTTTACATGTATTCAGCTTTGTCTTTCTAGTTAATATTAATTCGTCTTCAAGCTAAACTTTTTGTCTTGTTTAAAGTTACATTTAATTGCGGCTGGTGCAGTGGCTCATACCTGTAATCCCAGCAGCCTGGGAGGGTGAGGAGGGTGGATCACTTGAGGTCAGTAGTTTGAGACCAGCCTGGCCACATGGTAAAACCCCTTCTCTACCAAAAAATAACAAAAACTAGCCAGGCGTAGTGGTGTGCGCCTCTGCTTAGTCCCAACTACTCAGGAGGCTGAGGTGGGAGAATCGCCTGAACCCAGGAGGCGGAGGTTGCAGTGAGTGAAGGTCGTACCATTGCTCTCCAGCCTGGATGACAGAGTGAGACCCTGTCTCAGAAAAAAAGAAAAAGAAAAAGTTACATTTAATTATATAATGTGTAAAACCCTGAATGCTTTTCTAAGGCTCATTAATTCCACATTTGTACATACAAATTCAAATCTTTTAGAATTTAAAGACTCTTGCATTTTCTCGTAGTATATAAAACTGTCTGTCTTAGATAAACCTTGACCAAAGGAAGATTTCTTAACTTTTATTATTTCAGGCTCTTGGCTTTCTCTATGCCTCTGGACTTGGTGTTAATTCAAGTCAGGCAAAGGTAATACTATTAAACTTTATTGCATATTACAATTTGAATTGAATAAATGTGTGCCTATGTCCAGTTAAACATTTTTTGTCCTTTCACAGGCTCTTGTATATTATACATTTGGAGCTCTTGGGGGCAATTTAATAGCCCACATGGTTTTGGTAAGTAGACTTTGTGGAAAGCTAATAACATTAAGTATCAGGAATTTGTGGTTTACAGTGGCCACAACTTTTTCAGCTTTACTAATCAAGTTTTGCTTGTATTAATTAAGACCAAATATTCAGTTGAACTTACTTCAAATTCTTGTTAATGGATATAACAGATGGAATCCACATGTAAAATGAAAATTGCTGGAGTCCATAATTTTTTTTTAAAATGATTAGTTTGGCTGATTGCCCCTAAAAAGAGAGATCTGATAAATGGCTGTTTTTAAATTTTCTCTGAGTTGGAATTATTTGTCAGAATCATTTTTTAGATTAGATAATCATAAATTTTTAAAAAAAAATTTTAGTTTTCAAAATTTTGTAAATAGTGGCTACAGAATAAGAACATGAAATATTATACATTATTTCACAACGATACCCTACGGATTGTTAAAAGTTCATGAAGTTATTTATGCAGAATGACTCCAGAGAACTCTCCTTTGTGTTTTCTGCATTTATTCTGGTCAGTTATTGCTAGGGACATTGTGCCTGCTTCTAGTAGTCTCATTTTCTCTATTTTGCCAATTTGTTACTTTATCTTTGCTAATTCGGAAGATTAACTCATTTTTGTTACAAAATTGTGTCTCAAATTATAACTCATTCTAAGTGAAAGCCCTTATAATTTTTCTCTTTTGAGTAAAATGCACACACTTCAAAAATAAAGTTTATGACATCTATTTTGGTTACTCTAGGAACTATATTATTTATTTCCTTCTTCTTAGCTATGGCCTGCTTGTTGAAGTTGCTGAATAAATTACCTCAAAACCTAAAACTTAGCATAAATAATGTGTTAGTGTACTTGGGTCAAATGACAGCAAAATTCTCAGCAGGTGTAGCTTTATTTATTCCACGAAGAATGCCACTGAAGTACGTGAAACTGCTATCTCCTCACATGAAGTTGTTTTACAGGGTTACAGATACTGGGCTGGCATCGGAGTCCTCCAGAGTTGTGAATCTGCACTGACTCACTATCGTCTTGTTGCCAATCATGGTATCTATGTTTCCCCCTTTTACCTTTCAGGGAAAATAAATAAATGGAATTAACTTTAAACATACCTATTTTAATTGTTCTCTTTGAAGTATTATAAATGGCTCTTTTATGTGGACTCATGTTTAGTTAAGGTTCAGATGTACTTTTTTCTTTATTTAATTTTGCTTTGAGTTCTATTTAAATATGTTGCAAAAAAGTTCAGTTTATTAATAGATTACTGATTTGTGATCTATGTAGACTGCTCTAAAAGCAGTTTCCTTTAACATTTTGTTTGTAAACATTTGGCAGCTAGAATTGTACTTCTCTGTCTCTGGAACAATCCTTCTGATTTTCCTCCACGTTATTATTTTATCCCTTTATTTCAGTTGCCAGTGATATCTCGCTAACAGGAGGCTCAGTAGTACAGAGAATACGGTTGCCTGATGAAGTGGAAAATCCAGGAATGAACAGTGGAATGCTAGAAGAAGATTTGATTCAATATTACCAGTTCCTGGCTGAAAAAGGTGATGTACAAGCACAGGTATGTGTTTAAACATCTCACCAAATATCTTTACTGCATTTATATTTTAATCTGTTGGGGAAAGGAGCAAGCACTTATATCTGTAAGTTATGTATTTTAATACCATGAGATACTACTGTTTTGTACAGTTCATATTAATTTACGTTTATTTACAAATTTACCTTTTTTCATTACTCTTTATTATTTTATCTCTTTTTTTTTTTTTTGAGACAGAGTGTTGCTCTGTTGCCTAGTGCCACTATCTCAGCTGACTACTGCCTTCATCTCCTGGATTCAAGCAATTCTCGTGCCTTAACCTCCCCAAATTGCTGGGAATGCAGGCATGTGCCACCACGCCCAGCTAATTTTTGTGTTTTTAGTAGAGATGGAGTTTCACCATGTTGGCCGGGCTGGTCTTGAACTCCTGGCCTAAGTGATCCCACCTTCCTCAGCCTCCCAAAGTACTGGGATTACAGGCGTAATTACGGCCACCATACATACCCAGCCAGTTCTTTATTATTGTATCTACCAGCTTCTAGTAACTTTGCTTCTTTCTGAAGAGCGCCCATTTGTATTTCCTTTATAGCAGGTTCACTGGAGACAAATTCAGTTGTAATTTATGTGAAAATGCCTTTATTTCACCTTTGCGTTAGAGGGATATTTTGTGTTTTTATTTTGTTTGTTCGTTCGTTTTTTTGAGACAAAGTCTTGCTGTGTCACCTAGGATAGAGTACAGTGGCATGATCTTGGCTCACCATAACCTCTGCCCCCTGGGTTCAAGCAATTCTCCTGCCTCAGCCTCCTGAGTATCTGGAATTACAGGCACCCACCACCACACCCAGCTAATTTTTGTCTTTTTAGTAGCAGGGTTTCACCATGTTGGCCAGGCTGGTCTCGAACTCCTGACCTCAGATGATCCACCTCAGCCTCCCAAAGTGCTGGAATTACAGGCATGAGCATTGTGCCCCGCCTGTTTTTTGTTTTTTTTTGAGACAGTGTCTCACTCTGTCTCCCAGCTTGGAATGCAGCAGCGCAATCACAGCTTACTGCAGCCTTGACCTCTCCAGGCTCAGGTGATCCCCCCACCTCAGCCTCTCAAGTAGTGGGGACTACAGGCATGTGCTACCATGCCCGGCTAATTTTTCTATTTTTTTATAGAGACAGGATTTTGCGGCGTTGCCCAGATTGCTCTTGAACTCCTGGGCTCAAGTGATTCACCTGCCTTGACCTCCCAAAGTGCTGAGGTTACAGGCATGAGCCACTGTACCTGGCCGCAAATAATACTTTGCAATTAAAAGTGTATGTTTTTACTTTTCAAAATTTTAAGGGCAATTAATGTAGAATAATATTTTCAGAAGTTAAGACTAAATCTTCAGTTTTTTGAGTCACAAGCAGAAACCATTTTATGACCACATCATTTCTTGTTGGTCTGATTTTAATCATGTGCCAGATGCTACCACTTACTTTTGCCTTGTTTGTGATCATTTTCAGGTTGGTCTGGGACAACTGCATCTGCACGGAGGGCGTGGAGTAGAACAGAATCATCAGGTAACTACCATGTTCCTAGGGCTTTGCACTTCAGTTATAGCAGGAAATGATATTCCCAATGTATTTCTTGCTAAATCATTGTCAGTATCAAACTTGTGTCATTTAAACACCCATCACAAATGAGCTTTCAAGATCTAAACCAACCCCTGAGAAAGCTGAAGAATGAAAATGTGAATATACCTCAGAATGGTAGGAAAGATTGTACTGATTCTAAAACCTAGTTCTCAATACTACCTCAAAAATACACATAAAGTTTTGGTTTTCTGTAAGTATGTGATAAAATATGTCATAAAACACCTATTACAAAATATTTTATACAACTGTGAAAATTTTTATGTTGTTTGTGAGAAATCAGGAGTATACAACTACAGCAGTCTGATCTTTATCCAGTCACCAAGTTTTTTCGCTTTTTGTCCTAAAGATCACTCATTTCTACGTGAGTGTTGTGTGGAGACAAAAAAAGAAAAGAAAAAAAAGATCACTCATCTCTTTCCTTCCTTCATTAGTGTACCTGTCAGTATGTGAATCATCTGCCATTACATTTCCTAAATGACATCTCCTCTCTGTAAACCATACATCTGACTATATGTGGTTCTCTTTCATAAAACTCTTAAGTGGTCTATGATTCCAGTAGCTTAAAGACCAGAATGTTTACCATGCCCTTCAGGCCTTGTACCAGTCTCTGCTTGACTCACCAGCCCCCTGCTCTCTGAGTTACAGGCAGCTCCTTTTCTAAGGGCTTTAACATACCAGAAACCTGTCTCAGGACTTCGGTAATGCAAGTCCCTCCCTCTAGAAAGAATATTCCTCCCCCACCTACTTTCTTCATAGTGCTCGTTTCTGTTCATCCTTCAGAACTCAACTCCAACCTGGAATATGTCTCCCCAGATCCTCAACCCCACTCCAGGAACAGGTCATGGACCACAGTTAGGATTTCTAAAAATCCTAACTTTTGGTCCTTGTCATTTTTAAATTAATTAATTGCACAATTACATTTTTTCCCTGTTACAACCTAATGTCCAAAAGAGCATGGACGATGTCTGCCTTGTTTGCCACTTTACTCCTAGCGCCTGGCAATGCCTACCTAGCACATAGTCAGTTCTCCATAAATGTTTGTCAGAGTAATAAAACTGTTTTTCTACCATCCCATTTAAAGTATTCTAATTGAGATTATTTCATATACCATATCCCATCAACATTGTTAGATTGCAACAAGATACATTTATCACTAAAATTATACCAAATATATAGATAGGGTTTTTTTTTTTAATTCAGATGACTTTTGACAGCCTTTATTGTCTCTAGGTCATTAAAATGTGTATCATTAGGCCAGAGAAGTGTCAGCTAAGCTGGTTAATATCAGGTGAGAAAACAATTCTGAATAAGAGTTTGCTGCATACTTTTTATATAGTCAGTTTGGGAATATTTTTGGTGTTGTATGCTGCCTTCCTGTAAAGGAACTATATAATGATAAATTATTTCACCAGCTTCACAGAAAAATAGGAGTTCCCAATACATAACTGCATTAATTCAACAAATATTTTAGTATTTGCCATTCACTGCTAGGCATTCAGGATACAGTATTGGACAAAATAGTTTTTGTCTTTGACCTTTTGGAGCTTTAACTTTAATAGGAGCATTAGATATTTTTTAAGTGATCACACCAAATATAAATTGTGGTGATTCTTACAAAGGAGATTTAAAAGATACAAAAATTGGTTAATGGGTAGGAGGTACCACTTGCCAGGAAAGACTTCTGTAAAGAGAAGTGGAAAACCTTTAAGTTGACACTGGAGATAAGGTTATTCCAGGCCAAAAAGAACAGTGTATGCCCAGGCCCAGAGCTGGGAAGGAACATGGCTGGTCTGCCCATAGTACAGAGATGAAGATGAGACGGAACTGAGATAAGCAGTGCCTGATCACATCAGCATATCCCTGCAGCACTTCAAGGAGCTACAAGGATCAGCATGTTCTAATTTGGAAACAATGGCTTTGGCTGCAATATAGAAAATGAATTAGTAGACCCCAATAATAAAATCAGACAGATCAGGGACAGGAGTATTCCTGAACTTCAGGCGAGAGAGAATGTGACTTGGACTAGAACTACGGTAATGGAAGATAGTAGTGAATTCAAGATGTATTTGGTGGTAAGTGTCACAGGACTTAGTGATGGATAGGCTATGAGTGAAGGGGGGCAGATACCTTAAGCAACCAATAAGATGGTATTGCCATTTGCTTAAATTGAGCTGCTGGAGGAGAAGCAAGTTGAGGTCAGAAAGAGAAGATTTCAGGTATATGTTCGGGCATCGGATAGGGTGTTCAGAGGTAATTGAATAGACTGGATTAAAGCTGAAAATGTAAATTTAAGAGTTGCCATCATCTCGATGGCATGTTAAGCTATGGGAATAGATGAGATTGCTTAGAGAATGAAAGTAAGAATGGAGTCCAAAACTGAGCCCTGAAGAACTTGAATGTTCAGAAGTCAACTGATAGAAAACCAACAAAGCAAACTTAGATGGTACAGGTAGATTTAGGATCGAAACCAGGAGAGAGTGACATCTTGTAAGCCAAGCTAAGAGTCTGTCAGGAAGGAAGCCTTGATGGAGTGTGCCAAATGCTGCAGAGAAAGGTGGAGTGATTTAACTAAAAATTTAGATTGGCAATATGAAGCTCATTGGTGGCCTTGACAAGCTGTCTTTTTGATGTAGTGTATGGAAGCCAATTAAGACTAGATTGTAGTGTGAATTAAAGTGCATGTTGCCAATTTATTCGAAAAGTTTGCCTGTGAAGGAAAGTAGCTAACAGAACAGTCATCATTGGAGAGAAAGTGGGGTTCTCTAAAGGAGATGTATATCTTGAATGTTTTGGTTTGAGTTTTATTTTTTATTTTATTTTACTTAGTTACTTACTTTTTGGTTTGAGTTTTAATTTTAATTTATTTTACTTACTTACTTATTTAGAGACAGGTTCTTGCTCAGTCACCCAAGCTGGAGTGCAGTGGCGTGATCTTGGCTCACTGTAACCTCCACCTCCTGGGATTCTCCTGCCTCAACCTCCCAAGTAGCTGAGATTACAGACGCATGCCACCGTGTCAGGCTAATTTTTGTATTTTTAGTAGTGACAGGGTTTCACCATGTTGGCCAGGCTGGTCTTGAACTCCTGACTTCAAGTGATCTACCCATCTTGGTCTCCCAAAGTGCAGATGAGAGCCACCGAGACCAGCTGGGTTTTATTTTTTAATAATGAGATTATAGAATATGGTTAAGGGGGAACTGGTTCCACAACAGGGAGAAGTTAAATCAGCAAAGAAAAGAAGAGGAATAACCAATGGTACAAGGTTCTTAACAAAAATGGGCAGCAATACAGTTTAGAGCGGGGATAATGAATTTCTGCTTATGCTAGTGTGTTTACTTCAGTGATTTTTAAGTAAGGTTAAGAATTTTTCTCAAAACAATACACGAGGAAATTGTATTCCTTTAGAGAACAATGAAATTATGCTCCATGTCTTGGAAAGATGATTTAGTTTCTTCTTTCTCCCAGGTTATCAATAAAGAGATAGACCAAAGAAGTCAAGCTGCTCTTAAATGTCTTTTAAGCAGGCTGATGTTCACTCTGCCCACAAATAACAGAAGGCTTCTTGGACCTTAAGTTTAGGCGACATAAGAAATTTATTTGCATCTATAATTATGCAATGACTTCCTGATAAATAGTACAGTTATTCAGTAAAATAAAATTTCTAGATGTATTGATTTCTCTTTCAAAATATTAATAACTGGGTGTTCTCGTTTTTAAAGCACTGTGATATAACAAGATTTTGTAAATGTTCCTGAAATAATTATTTTGGCTGAAAGTCAAAAGCAGATTCTGTTAAAAACTAATTATTTTAATAAATTCTTTTCTCATAGAGAGCATTTGACTACTTCAATTTAGCAGCAAATGCTGGCAATTCACATGCTATGGCCTTTTTGGGAAAGGTACTGTACATCCTGTGAATGTTTTATGTAATAACAAGAGATGTTTGCATAATTAGCATTTATTGTGTTCAGGATCATTCCTAATGCAAAACCATTATATCTTAAAGTGCTATTCTGAGACATTTTCTTAGCCAACTTAAGTATAACATAGTGTTTGCTCATCAGTATGTTAATTATCCGTTAAAATTAGCTCTCACTGTCTGAGCTCCTACTTTTTGTGTATTGAATGCAATAATGAGGAATGCTTTTTTTTTTTTTTTTTTATAAGACGGGGTTTCACCATGTTGGTCAGGCTGGTCTTGAACTCCCGACCTCAGGTGATCCACCCGCCTTGGCCTCCAAAGTGCTTAGATTACAGGCGTGAGCCACCACGCTTGGCCGGAATGCATTCTTGATGCTTTGCAGTTTTTGCTAAGACTCTCACAGTTGCCTGTTTTCTTCATGTGGAATGGAGGCAATTAGAGTTTGTTGAAATTTATCTGCAGAACTTTAGTCTTAAATGCGTTAACCGTGACCCACCTCTTCTTAATGTAGCTATGTTCTCAAGGAAGGGAGCATTTAAGTCTAGAGACTTTATAAATAAATTCCTTCTGTCATGGAAGAATCTCAAAACTTTCTTTTTCATTATTTTGAAACAGTACAAATCAATGGATATTTTCACTTCTAACTAAATCATGATTTGCCTCATGATCATACTAGTTAATTGGAACATTTAAATATTCTAGCTGTTATATAGCATAGAACTTGGTATTCTTCCATCTGTTTTTGCTAAGCATTTAAGAACTTTTCATTCCTCCTCTTGTGGTTTTTGCTCTGAACTCCTGTCATTGTCTTTAAAAACTATTTTTTAAATTTATTGTTTCTTTAACATGTATGTGGATAAAGACAGTCTTGACCATTCTGTTTTTCTTTCTCTTGGCCCTTTATCATTCTCCATACTGGATACTCTGATTGTTTAGTGTTCAAACCCTTTCACATAAACCTTTTAGTTACTTTGCTTCCTGAACTTACAACCCACTTGTGATCTTATCCTGGGGAAAGTAGTGGTAGAGGAGAAAGAAAAAGGAACACTGTGAGCATCTCTCCTTTTCCTTGTTGAATCACTGATCTGATCCTAAGCAACTTATTAACCATTTGACTGCCTTGGAATAGAGTGAGAAAAATGATTCATCTTGGGCTGAAAGATTTCCTCTGAGACTGATATATAAGCTGATTTTATGTATTCATGTTTACAAATAAGTCATAAATTTGAGATGACATCAAAATATACAATTACTAAAATGTTTGCTTTTAAGAGTTTGCTTCTCATTCTTTTTTCCTTTTTTTTTTCCTTTGTCACCCAGGCTGGAGTGCAGTGGCAAGCTCTCAGTTCACTGCAGCCTTTGCCTCCTGAGCACAAGTGATTCTGCTGCCTCAGCTTCCCGAGTAGCTGGGATTATAGGCATGTGCCACCACACCCGGCTAATTTTTATATTTTTGGTAGAGACAGGGTTTTGCCATACTGACTAGGCTGGTCTTGAACTCCTCACCTCAGGTGATCTGCCTGCCTCAGCCTCCCAAAGTGCTGGAATGCCAGCATCAGCAACCGCACCCAGCCTTTGCTTTTAATTCTAAAATATCCTGTGGGGAATTCTAAGTTTTTTGGAAATGATTTCATGACATCTAACAAAAACCAAAAGGAGATAATAAAGGAGAAAAATGTACTTGAAGAGAGGGTTACAGCTCTTACTGAAATTGGGATCTGTTTTCTAGATGTATTCGGAAGGAAGTGACATTGTCCCTCAGAGTAATGAGACAGCTCTCCACTACTTTAAGAAAGCTGCTGACATGGTAAGACTTTGTCTCAGTGTACTGAAATGTGTACCATATTACTATTATTTTAATAAATAAATTTGTTATATTAAAGGGTTAATCTTAACCAACTCACACTATACATTATTGAAACTGCTTATTAAATATGATTCATATGAATGTATTGATTAGACAAAGCCCTCTGGATAAAAAGCAATTTTTTTAGGAACCAGATTGTTGATTTTTAGTTAAGTTTCCTAATCAGGGAAATATTGATTTTTAGTAATGGAACTGGGAGTTATATAATCTACCTATTTGTATTGCAACATGAAATTTAAAAGCTTACATAATAGGATACTTTTCATAATTATAGTACATAATTTAGGCTTTCTTTGGCTCAGAAAACTGCATATGAATACCTAAAACCTTGTATGTCTTCAGTATGTACACTTACCTCTCTGTCAACTCTTATACATGTTACTGCAATTCCAGATGTCATTTGTATGCTTCCGTAAGGAATGCTATGACAGTCTTTTTAAAGATGTCATCTGTCCCTCTAAGTCTAGGTGAATTCTAGAGTTTTCTTTCTAGTCCAAAACAGTGATTCTCTTTGCTCTATGACACTCCAATAATCCTAAGTATATCTTTGCCACCTGATAGCAGCATTGCTGTTATTATATGATTGTGCTGTTATTACAAGATGTTCCATGATATCTTTCCTCTTTATTGGAGTGGGACATTACCAATGAAAAACTGCAAAAATGTGACCTGCTTTTAATTTTGATGAAATACATCAGTCATGCTTTATGTCATAAATTCATGGTGCAGATGCTCATAAAGTAACTCACCAAAATTTATTTCTAAATGAATTTACTATTTACTCTTTTTCAGCAAATTACCAAAGCCCCCAAATGTCTAAAAGTCAATATTATGTTTAGTCTGATGAGAAGAACTCCTGTTTTGAATTGAAAAATACTAAGACATGTTTTTGAATAGGCTTATAAATGATTTATTTTGCAGTTATTTATTCTTGCCTATTTTTTAATGAATTCTTTTCACTTTTTTGTCTGATTTCTCTGGTTTGCAGGGCAACCCAGTGGGACAAAGTGGCCTTGGAATGGCCTACCTCTACGGGAGAGGGGTTCAAGTTGTAAGTGTTCAGTCTGACATTCTGACTTTAACGAGCAGTTGGCTGGAGAGGTGGGGACGTGTTCCTTAATTAGCTTCCAGTCAGCCGAGGTGGTGCTGTTCCGTTGTGAGCAAATCTGAACCTCTTCCTCTTGTCTGAGTTTGTCTCACTACCACTTCACACCCGACAGCTACCATCTCCACTGTCATTGAACAGCTCTGTGTCTGGCACTTTCTCCCAAAGGTGTGGAGCTGTTTCTTGTTCTTATATCTCTGCTCTCCGCCCCACCTACTCTAACCATTTCTCAGGACTTAAACATCTCCTTGCCTACTTTTTCACTCAAGCCTGAAAAAATGCATAATTGCCTTTCATTTAGGAGGAGGAAAGCTTTCTGTTCTGCCCTTTGCCCCTTCTAGCTACCACCTCTCTCCTCCCAGCCCTTCACTCAGAGCCAGACTAAGCTGCTGCTATTCACTCTTGAGTTCTTAGCAATCAAACTTCTTCTTTATGGAACTATACTCTGTACAGATTACCAGTAACCTCCTAAATGTCAGTGCAACTGACACTTTTTTGGTTCTGCCTCACTTGACCTCTTCCTTCCCTTGTGTTCTGAGTCTGGGTTTCCTTGGCCATTGCATCTTATCCTTCTGTGCAACCTCCTCATGTTGGATGTCCCTGGATTCACGTTGCTATTTTCTTTCTATATGATCTTTCCAAGTAATATGTCCTTTTAATTTGAGACTGAAACTAAGAGCTATGTTTAAGAGTCTAATCTATAGGTATTCTCTAATACAAAAGACAGTAATGTGTTCTCATTTTGAGGCCTTCTAGTCATTCTAGAACACTAAAATTCAGTAGTAACCTTTATTTTAACTTTTCTCCTTGAAGTATAATAATCATGTAGCGATTGGTAAGGTACCCAGGGAAGAAATGAAAAAGGAAAGAAGTTTCCTTCTTTAGTATTAGGAAAATTGAGGTTTAAAAACGATTAATGGGTCAGCAGAGAAGACTGACTTTCTTAATTCCTGGTTGTACTAGTGTTTGTACTTTCTGAGAGCAGCATACAAATTGCTTTTCTTCACCACCTTAAATATTAATCCCCCTGTGACTTAAAGTATATTGTTATCTATCACAAGAATTAGAAGGTGGTCTTTTTAATGACTCATCAGGAATATTTTTTGTATGCTTTGTTCATTCCTTTTAGTAGATCTCCTAACTTTTGAGTATGTCAGCCTTTTGAGCTTTCTCGTCACATGACATCTTTTTCTACAGAATTATGATCTAGCCCTGAAGTACTTCCAGAAAGCTGCTGAACAAGGCTGGGTGGATGGGCAACTACAGCTTGGTTCCATGTACTATAGTAAGTAACACTGGAATTAATAATGGTTACACCCTAAATTAAGCTGCTTTCCACTAGATGGCATTATGTTATGGAAATGGGTGTTACTAAATTCTGGCTGGTTAAGTGTTCTCCCAGTTCTATGATTTGTACATCTTGTTTTTCATTGTAAATTGTATTAATCTGTATCAATATGTTAATTTGTATTAGATTCACATATTTAGTAAGAATTCTTTCATTAGAGTTTTATTCCTCATATATAAAGCTGCTCTGATGCTTAGCTAAATCTTACTTAGGTCTATTATCTCATGTGATTTTTCTTTTTCTTACAGATGGCATTGGAGTCAAGAGAGATTACAAACAGGCCTTGAAGTATTTTAATTTAGCTTCTCAGGGAGGCCATATCTTGGCTTTCTATAACCTAGCCCAGATGCATGCCAGCGGCACAGGTGTGATGCGGTCATGTCACACTGCAGTGGAGGTACGGTCTTTTCTACCAGCTTGTGTGTAGGGAGTTGATTTGCCCAACAGGAAGTCTACGCTTTTAATCCTGATTTTCTTTGTTTTCTTCTATAATTCTAGACTCAGCCTACCTGGCTTTGATATACTGAGGGAAGACTGAAGGGTCTGTAACTATTTAGTCTCTCCCTATTATTTAGTCTCTCCCTATTATTTAGTCTCTCCCAAAAAGAGTCAGCTGTACAAGGGGAGATATTGGTGTTTGCAGTATCTCCACCACCTAAGACAATATCTGATGATAATCAGGATCAAAAATATGTATGAGCTGGGCACAATGGCACATGCCTGTAGTCCCAGCTACTTAGGAGGTTGAGGTGGATGATGGCTTGAGCCCAGGAGTTTGAGACCAACCTGGACAACATAGCAAGAGCCTATCTCTTTAAAAAAAAAAAAAAAAGAAAGAAAAAAAGAAAAAAAAAGAAGTGTACATTGAATGAATGTTCCAAAAAGGAATGCTCATAGCTCCTAATTGGAAATTTTCCTCTTAACTCTCTCAGACCTGGCACTTTAGAGTGACATTGATAAATGCTTAGCAAAGTTTCTAAATCTCTGTGCTTTACTTTACTCACTTGTGGCTGTTAATAGGACTTAACCCATAGGGTGGTCCCTCATGAATCTCATGGGAAGTTTAAGAATGACAATACACACAAATCATTGGAACCTTGCCTGGGCAGAGTAAATGGTGATTTTTATAGCACAATAATTGTGTACTGTTAACTTTTTTTTAATAAACCTGTTGACTTCTAAAGAGTAAGTGAAAACTTTAAATATGTTTCACACTTCTATGTCTATTCAAGAAAGCTGCCAGAAATTGAAAGAGCAAGCTTAATAGTCACTTGTAGCCAAAATACATAAGTGATTTTCTGGTATGTATTTCTTATTTTGTTTTACTTATTTTTTTTTCCCCATCTCACACAGTTGTTTAAGAATGTATGTGAACGAGGCCGTTGGTCTGAAAGGCTTATGACTGCCTATAACAGCTATAAAGATGGCGATTACAATGCTGCAGTGATCCAGTACCTCCTCCTGGCTGAACAGGGCTACGAAGTGGCGCAAAGCAATGCAGCCTTCATTCTTGATCAGAGTAAGGTTCATTTTAGTCCTGCCTTAGATTTAGAATGTACAAGTTCACATCGGGTTAATCTGTTCAAAAAGAAAAGCCACTAGGAAACAATTGTTATTATAACTGAAACTGAACACACATGCTTGTTATTAATATTTTACTTTAGCCATCATAGTTTTATAACTAGATTTGACTGTAGAAATTGATTTGACATTCATTTTAAAATTAAGCACTTTCCATAAATACATTTTTCAAAATACAGTGGATACAAAACTGCCATTTTTCCAACACTGTGCAGAAAAGTGGCTCAGTAGTCTGATTGGTTCTATAAATAAAACATGTTTCACGAAGTAGTGACCTCTTGCAACCAGTCATTGCTTTGAACCCACTATTCTAGTTCAATAATTGTTTAATTTCAGTACTTGTTCAATTCTTCTTATATCCCAATTCTTGTTTAACTTATGCTCCACCTGTCCTCCCTACTTTGCAAATGAAAAGTAAGTCTAGTGTCTTTTCTTAAATGCCTGATTTTTATTTTGTTTCTTTTTCTGTAGGAGAAGCAACCATTGTAGGTGAGAATGAAACTTATCCCAGAGCTTTGCTACATTGGAACAGGGCTGCCTCTCAAGGTGAGTGATAATTCAAGGATAAGAGTTTCACCCAGAGACCTCCCTATGTTGTTTATCTTCCATGAACATTAAATCATGTCATTCATCACCTTTAAATTAAGTAGAGGCTGGGTGTAGTGGCTCACACCTGTAATCCTAACACTTTGGGAGGATTTTTGGTATTTATTCTTAACATAGAAGTTTCTAGAGCCACAGTTTTTAAATTGGATTGTAAAGACTTTGTACTACACATTTCCATCAAGCTATGATTCACTCTGGTTTCCTGCCAAGGCAGGAGGATCACTTGAGGTCAGGAGTTCGAAATGAGCCTGGCCAACATAGTGAAACCCTGTCTCTACTAAAAATACAAAAGAAAAATTAGCCGGGCGCCTGTAATTCCAGCTACTCAGGAGGCTGAGACAGGAGATTCACTTGAACCCAGGAGGCAGAGGTTACAGTGAGCCAAGATCACGCCACTGCACTCCAGCCTAGGTAACAGAGCAAGGCTCCGTCTCAAAAAAATATAATAATTAATTAAGCAGAGAGATATTGTGAATTAATTTGTTTGCATATTATTGGTATTTATTCTTAACATAGAAGTTTCTAGAGCCAGAGTTTCTAAATTTGATTGTAAAGACTTTGTACTGCACATTTCCATCAAGCTATGATTCACTCTGGTTTCTAGTTTGAGGCTAGTATACTGTGTGAAATGGGAATTAAATAGAATATATGGTAGAACATTAGTCTGAAACCTAAGAGACTGTAACTTTTCCCTCAGTCTTTTTTTCTTTTGAATATTTATTTTTTATACATGCTTCTCTTGACATTCTCTGCCTGTTCCTTCTCCAAGCCTAGATGGTCAAGCTGGACTCATTTTTTTTTTGAGACGGGCTCTTGCTCTGTCACCCAGCTGGAGTGCAGTGGCGCGATCTTGGCTCACTGCAACCTCCGCTGCTTGGGTTCAAGTGATTCTCCTGCCTCAGCCACCGGAGGAGCTGGGACTACAGGCACAAGCCACACGCCTGGCTTATTTTTTATATTTTAGCAGAAACGGGTTTCACCTTGTTAGCCAGGATGGTCTTAATCTCCTAACCTCGTGATCTGCCAGCCTCGGCCTCCAAAGTGCTGGGATTATAGGCATGAACCAGCACCTAGCCAAAGCTGAACTATTTTAAAATGTAAATGACATGATAAAATAGAGCCTGATTATTTACTTAAGAGTGTTAGTGAAAGAAGGGAGTACAGCTTGAGTATCCCTTATCTGAAATGCTTAGGACCAGAGTGTTTCAGCTTTCAGATTTTTTTTTTTTGTTTTTTTTTTTTTTTGTGTGTGTGTGTGTTTGGAATATTTGCGCATATTGTTTGAGCATCCTTAATCCGAAATCTGAAATGCTCCTGTGACCATTTCCTTTGAACATGACTTTGAACATCAGTTTTGGGTTTTGGAGCATTTCAGATTTCAAATTTTTGAATTAGGTATATTGAACCTGTCCCCCAACACACACCAACTTGGTTTTACCTCTTTATTTCAAAGCCTTCTGCAGAAGAGCTACACTTCTAGTTTAAATCTGTACTGGATTTTATAACTTGGCTGAAAGGATTTGTTACCAAGTTTGTGTACTACAAATTAAAAGTCTTTGTTTTATGTAAGCATGTTAACAGGAGGAAAGAAAAATTTGGTCCGTTTTAAACATACTTTATTTATTGGCAGTTTTGCATTTAACTTTTATTTAAGGCTATACTGTGGCTAGAATTAAGCTCGGAGACTACCATTTCTATGGATTTGGCACCGATGTAGATTATGAAACTGCATTTATTCATTACCGTCTGGCTTCTGAGCAGCAGCACAGTGCACAAGCTATGTTTAATCTGGGATATATGCATGAGAAAGGACTGGGCATTAAACAGGTGAGTGTAGCTTCCAAACACGTTTGAATAATATAATCGTGATTGGGGAAAACACTTGCATTTGTATAGAAAATAGACTTTCCTTGACATTCAGTTGGATTTCAGGCCACTAAATTATGGGACTGATTTGTAATATTTCAGAAGACTGCCCTTCCATCTCTCATCTTCCAGGACACACAGAGACACACAGATATTACTATCCACGCTGTTCTATTTAGGGATTAAGCTGAAGACAGACTCATGGGAATGGAAGTGCCGTGCTGCCTCTGCTGATTACTACTTGTTTGAGAAACTGTCAGTCTTCAGCCAAATTCTATTATTTCTAAATTATTTTGAAATGAATTAAATGTACTCTACTGATAAATTTATTTCTGATTCTTACACCTTCCTAAGGAAGTCTGACATTCTATGGACTCATGACTTAAGGTTTTGCCTACGTTTCCCCACAAAGGGGGAAAAGCTACAGACCCCCTTGTGCATTTTTAAGTTGGCATTTAAGTTTTTTCTTAGGTTTCAAAGGGTCTAAATTCTATCTATGTTAAGCATTAACATTTTTATGTAAAATTATTTATTTATGCTTAAAATATCCAGTAGAATCTAAATAACAATAATTTAATACCCATTCACCATTATTCATTTTTTTTAGAAATATACAAGCAAGTTCTTTAATTGAAAGTTATGGCTTTTCCTGTTTTCCCTAAATTTATATTTTCTACCACAATTTCTGTAGAATGTAATACTAATGTATTGTTTTTAATGCTTAGTTATTTTATTGATCACTCCATTGTACTTATCTGAAACAAATATATAAATTAATTTTGAATGTTATTACCAGCCATCTAAGTGTTAAGAAAAATTCATGAGATACTACTGGTCACAGTTAATCACTTAATACATTGTTGATGAAATCTTAAAAAATATGTTTTGATAAAACTTTGCTTTTGTATTATTAATTGAAAATGCAATGGGCCAGGCATGGTGGCTCACACCTGTAATCCCAGCCCTTGGGGAGGCTGAGGTGAGTGGATCATGAAGTCAAAGAGATTGAGACCATTCTGGCCAACATGGTGAAACCCTGTTTCTGCTAGAAAAACAAAAGTTAGCTGGGCATGGTGGCGTGCACCTGTAGTCCCAGCTACTCAGGAGGCTGAGGCAGGAGAATCACTTGCAGAAAGCCGAGATTGCACTACTGCACTCCAGTCTGGTGACACAGCAAGACTCCGTCTCATTAAAAAAAAAAAAAAAAAAAGAAAATGCATTTCTTAATGAGATAAATGGAGTATTTGTTAAAAATTATTGAGTAGATTTAGCATTAATTCTGTTTTTCAGTTAAAATGTGTGACTAGAATGTCATTCACATAAATATGTATATGAAAACGAGAAGAGTTTCGTTATAGCATGGTCACATAGTTCTTTAAACTGCCTTAACAGTTAGTTGGCAATAATCAGAGTAACTTGTCATTAGAAATTATTCCTAATGATCAATCCCCTAGCCACTTGATTAGGTCCCTCTTCAGTTGCGTTGAAAGCAAAGAATTAGAAACCAAAAACTTATGAAAGCATTTTTTCCCTGACACTGGAGCCTTTCACTTTTCCCTTTTTCTAGGAAGAGTATTGAAAAGGCTTTACCGCTGGGCACGGTGGCTCAAGCCTGTAATCCCAGCACTTTGGGAGGCCAAGGCAGGTGGATCACGAGGTCAAGAGATCGAGACCATCCTGGTCAACATGGTGAAACCCCATCTCTACTAAAAATACAAAGTATTAGCTGGGCATGGTGGCATGTGCCTGTAATCCCAGCTACTCAGGAGGCTGAGGCAGGAGAATTGCCTGAACCCAGGAGGCGGAAGTTGCAGTGAGCCGAGATCGCGTCATTGCACTCCAGACTGGGTAACAAGAGTGAAACTCTGTCTCAAAAAAAAAAAAAAGAAAAGAAAAGAAAAGGTTTTACCAAGACTTAAGAGATGGACTGTTAATTATACTCCTTCCTCTGCCACTTAGAGGCCCTTTATTGACCTAACTCTGCTTAAGGATTGAGGGAAAGTTAAGTTCATTTTTGCTAATGCGCTACTTTCTTGACAAATGCTGCTGCTTTGTTCACATTTGGACATTTAATTTCAGTATGTAAATGTTTATATTTTAAACTTAGCTTAGTATTTAGAATATTACTAATATTAGATACTTGAATATAGTTCAGCAAGGCTCTGGAGCTACAAACTCAGTACGTTCAACTTCTGGAAGATCTCTGCCACTTAATGGAGGAATTGAAGTCTCTCTTTATTATCAAACCAGTCATCCAGTGTCCCATATTAGACTTAGCTTCTATCAGAAAGGCTGACAGGTTTCTTTTCTTTTCTTTTTTTTAATGGAGATGGGGTATCACTATGTTCCTTAGGTTTGTCTCAATCTCCTGGGGACTCAAGCGCTTTGGCCTCCAAAAGTGCAGAGATTGCAGGTATGAGCCACTGCACCTAGCTGACTCTATTTTTAATTCAAGTGAAGTTTGACATAACTGATATAAAGAGCATATATAAGTTATGGCTTTCATGGAGTACATCTAGTAATACTATACTGACTGTAGATTAAAATGCTATAACTCATAATCTGTTTTTATAATAGGTTATAAAACAAATTAATGTGCTCTTCTAATTTAATTTGTAATACAATGTATAGCTAATAATATAAATTCTTGTAAATAAAGATACAATAAAAGGCATAGTATTCCTTTGATAAGAGTAGAGGGAGGGAAGTTGTGTTTAGCTTTTGAGAATAAATAATCATGTATAAAAATCAGTACTCTGTTACTTTTTGTAAGACACCAGGATCAGGTTTTCTGGTTTTTTTTTTTTTTTTTTTGAAAGTTTAAAATATTCTTGCTACTAATACTAAAAACAATCAATCTAGCATTTAACATAGGAAAATATCAAATAATATGAAGATTGACTATTGGAAAAAAATTATATTATTTGTTAAGTTTTAATTACACACTGTTGAATCTATTTAATGACCCTAGTGAATCATCCACAGAGTGTGTATGAGTCACATGAAGTTTGATCCATGAGCTTGAAAAATACAGCAGTCCAAAAAACCATTTGAGTTATATTTTTCTAAAAAAATTAGACACTAACCATACTGTTACCATTATTTGAAGAACCTCTTCTTGACACACCCTAAGGACAAAAATAAGGATTAGCTGAAAGTAACTGCTTGTATTTAAATATGTTGGTGGGGGGGGGAGTCATTTTTGGTCTTTAGCTTTTCTTCTTCATGTCTCATGGAATTCTGGTATTCTTTGATAATAAGGAGTAGAAATGAGATTTTTAAGTGAAAACTCCCGCCATTCCATTCTGTTACATATCTGAATTCAGAACACTCTAGCCTGGGCCAAAATAAGAATGACTTGTTTCACCTGTTACAGAAATATGTCTTAAAAAAAAAAAAAATTTAGGGGGGTCCAAAGTGGCTCCCGCCGGAGGTCATGGCGCTCGCAAAGGCAAGGTCATCAGTTCAAGGCTAACCTCATAAGCTCAAACTGATTGGCAAAAAAAAAAGAAAAATGTCTAACACAGGGAAACACAAGAGACCCTAATAACGGTTTATAATTAGTCAATAAAGGAGCCTTCTCCAGAACCAGTATTTCATGGTATCTCTTTCAGTGGTAGCCCCTGAGATTTTTACACCCCAAGGCAGTGTACTTGAGGAAAGAGTGGGGTAGATAAGGGCTATGCCCTCCTTTTGCAAAGTGGAAAAATGTTGCTGTGCACGCAGGCCTGTTCTCAGCAGATCCCTTTTAGGAAAAAGCACATATGGAAGTTGCAGAACTGCAGAATAGAGTTCCTTATGTCCATGCAAGTACATCTTACAAAATCTGTTTCTTTTTTATTTGGAGACAGGGTCTCACTCTGTCACCCAGGCTGGAGTGCTGTGGGTGACATCTCAGCTCATTGCAACCTCTGCCTCCTAGGTTCAAGCAATCTTCCCACCTCAGCCTCCCAAGTAGCTGGGACTACAGGCAGGCGCCATCACACCCAGCTAATTTGGCTTATTTTTTTGTAGAGAGTTTCACTGTGTTGCTCAGGCTGGTCTTGAACTCCTGGCCTTAAGTGATCATCCTGCCTCACCCTCCCAAAGCATTGGGATTACAAAAATGATCCACCATGCCTGGACTCTGTTGTAAAATCTTGAGTGTCTCTACCCCACTTTGAAGATTACTGTCCCAAACTGAAACCAGACATTGCTTACCCTGATTGAAGTTTTAAGTAGCAAAAAATTAGTGTGAGTCTCAGAGGTCGCCCTTGAAAATCTGTAGGTTAATAGTGTCAATGCATGAATATATGGCTGTATCCAGCATATCTACACAGCAAATGAGATGTTACATTGGGGGAAAATGAGTTTTTTAATTAAGTCTTTCAATATTAAGCAGTTAGATAATTAAACAAATTTTACCCAAGTAAAGCTTGTCATTTTTCTTTAGGTGAGGGAAACTTATTTTTAAAATGAAAACCTCAAAGGTAAAATAAATTTGTCTGATATGTACACTAAATATTTTCACTTATTTTGACAAGAAATGCATTTTTGTTTCCTCCCTGTATTACAGGATATTCACCTTGCAAAACGTTTTTATGACATGGCAGCTGAAGCCAGCCCTGATGCACAAGTTCCAGTCTTCCTAGCCCTCTGTAAATTGGGCATTGTCTATTTCTTGCAGTACATACGGGAAACAAATGTAAGTGGTCCATGCCTCTTTTAATCAAAATATAAATGATGGAAGCTCTGTCCTGGAGGTTTGTATTTCAGAAGTTGAGAAGCACAGGGAAAAGTGTCCTGCAGGTATCAGGTGGGTTCCCTTCTTCCCCTCAGCTCAGGTCCTAGAGGAGCTTGTCAGGAGAGGGATAAATGTAGGCACAAAGCAGTTACTGCAGCTTTTAGGTAGCATTTGATACTTCCTAACGCTGAAGCATTTTTCATGGATGCAAATGTTTTCTGGTTTAGGAAAAACAGACAGATTAATGGCAGTTTGAAACAGTACTTAAATTCAGTAAACATTAAATCAGACGACCGCCTGGCAGTGACTCAAACCAGTTCCTTAAAAAGAAAAAGAGAAAAAAGAACTTGAGAACCTGCCCAGGTTGTTGTATTTCAGATTCTTCTGATAGTGAAACATTAAGTTAAAAACACCACCCGAATTTTCTTCTCTAAAAATAGCTTGAATTATTTAAACAGGCTAATGGGAGAACCTAAATAGGAAGTGGTTACCTGTTTTTTTCAAAATTACCAACTTTAGTTGCCAGTACTGGTATGTAGGTACTCTTGGGTTCTGCCAGCTTTACATTTTCTTTCCAGTACTATAGCTCCTAGAATGGATTAACTGGTGCAGCATTTGACTCTGAAAACCCTAAGATATTTAGAGACACTGTTTCTAACATAGGCTTATTCACGACCAGAAAAGGATGATATTTCACCCTTTTGTTAATGTCTTTCAGTATTACATTCAAGAACGGGCTTTCCCTCGTGTGTGTCACAGGTATAAATGTAGTCCATGCTGCTCCAGCATCAATAAAAAGAAACGGACTTGTCTAGTCCATGCAACTGAAGTCCTCCACAGATAGGGCTCTGGAGCATTGGTCTTATGGGGCTCTGTCCTCCCAGTTGCTTATATATGTGTAATGTCAGTTGCCATAATTGAACGGTAGCATGAGTCAGGTGTGCTGTAACCGCTGCCAGTTGAAACAATCTTTGCTTCTTTAATTAAAAAGCTGACCATGTGGCAGCCTACTGTTTCTCTCAGTACTATTTCAAACCCTTATCTCTCATAATGTTTATTATTAACTGTTGGTTATAGTCTAGGATTTCATCTTCCAGTACGATGTACTGGGTGTATTATATCTCAGTTTTTTTAATACAGAAGTATAAAGAAGACAGTAAAATTCCCCATAATCCTACCACCTAGCCATTCCAACTAAAAAGAAAAAAGAGAGTCCAAGACTAATAAGTATCAATCATAAGAAAGTCAAACAGTGCAGAAGAAAACAAATGTCCCATCCCGATTCTTCCCCAGAGAACACAATTAGTGGTTTCTTGTCATTTCTTTTTTCCAGAAAAATTTAGCACCTGTACCTACAAACATGTTACAGAGATCTTTCAAATGTAATTTTATTTTTAAAATTATACCCTATATTTACTTTCTTAATGGGTAAGTATAATAGAAGTCAGAAAGTATCAGAAATAAGTGATACTAAAACAATTCAAATATCATAGGCTAAGAACATAACTTTTAAGTTTAAATTCAGATGTTAAATATTTTGTGTTTTAGTTAAATACTAATTGAGAAGCATTATTCATTCAGCTATTAAATATTTGAGTTTCTGCTATTTTCAATTACATGGGAATAGTGAAATGGCCCCACTGTCACGGAACAGAGCTTTCCAGCTGGTGTGCTGTCACTGCCAATAGGTTCCCTGTGCCAAGATACTAATTTCTCCCCTTGGCTTGCCGCTGTTTTTTTCTTTCTTTCTTTCTTTTTTTTTTGAGAGTCTCACTATCTCACCCAGGCTGGAGTGTAGTGGCATAGTCTCAGCTCACTGCAACCTCCACCTCCCGGGTTCAAGCAGTTCTCATGCCTCAGCCTCCCGAATAGCTAGGATTACAGGCACCCTCCACCATGCCCAGTTAATTTTTGTATTTTTAGTAGAGACTGGATTTTGCTATGTTGGCCAAGTTGGTCTTGAACTCTTGGCCTCAAGTGATCCACCCACTTCGGCCTCCCAATGTGCTGGGATTACAAGGCGTGAGCCCCTGCGCCTGGTCCTAGTGATTTTTTTTCAAATATTTTATGTGAAAAATGGTTAAAATTAGTGGATTGGATTACTGATGGAAAGAACACTGTCAGACATTTTATATTAAACATCAGCTGTTATACATTAATAACTCAGTTCCTCAGACACATTATTTTGAGCTTCAGTTGAAGGCTTTTAAAACCCCTTTAAACACTCACACACACACATTTTGAGCTTTAATTAAAGGATTTTAAAACCTTTTTAAACACACACAGCAAAATGTTTTTAAAACCAATTATTTTAATTTTTTTTTTTTTTTTTTTTGAGACAAAGTTTCACTGTCATGCTGGCTGGAGTGCAGTGGTGTGATCTCGGCTCACTGTATATCCACCTCTCAGGTTCAAGCGATTGATTCTCCTGCCTCAGCCTCCCGAGTAGCTGGGACTACAGGCGCATGCCACCACACCTGGCTAATTTTTGTATTTTTTTTTAGTAGAGACAGGGTTTCACCATATTGATCAGGCTGGTCATGAACTCCTGACCTTGTGACCCAACCACTTCGGCCTTCCAAAGTGCTGGGATTACAGGTGTGAGCCATGGCACCAGGCCCAATTATTTTAATTTCTATACTTACCTCTGGTGATATAACTTTCCTAGTTTTTTGCCTGATATTTTAGTGATAATAATGGTTTCCATATTATTTTCATTAAGATTCGAGATATGTTCACCCAACTTGATATGGACCAGCTTTTGGGGCCTGAGTGGGACCTTTACCTCATGACCATTATTGCGCTGCTGTTGGGAACAGTCATAGCTTACAGGCAAAGGCAGCACCAAGACATGCCTGCACCCAGACCTCCAGGACCACGGCCAGCTCCTCCCCAGCAGGAGGCTCCACCAGAGCAGCAGCCACCACAGTAGCAGCCACCAGGTCCAGCCTTGATCGGTGACAGCGAAGGAAGTTATCTGCTGGGAACACTTGCATTTGATTTAAGACTTTGGATCAGTGGTCACCTCCCGGAAGAGGCACGGCACAAGGAAGTATTGAATTCCTAAAGCTGCTTAGAATCTGATGCCTTTATTTTCAGGGATAAGTAACTCTTAACTAAGCTGAATGTTTGTTTCAGTGCCATATGGAATAAAACTCTCAGTGGCTTTTTCTTTTTTCTTTTCTGGAAACATATGTGAGACACTCAAAGTAACATCTGCTGTATCCAGCTATCTTTCTTGGATCCTTTTGGTCATTATTTCATTGTGCATAAGTTCTTAATATCAACCATTTTTAAGGTATTGTGCATCGACACTAAAAACTGATCAGTGTAAAAAGGAAAACCCAGTTAGTTGCAAGTTTAAATGTGTTCGAAAGTCTGAAAATAGACTTGCCTTTTAAGTTAAAAAAAAAAAAGACATCTTCAGAGTGTTTTGGAACTGCGACTACTGAGAAACTTTTACCAGTCCACATGCAATTATACATATTTAGCATATTCGTTATTTTAAAAGGGAAGGTTAGGAGGTTCTTATTGGTGATTGTCACACTGTGTACCATACTCCTCTCCTTCAAAGACTGAAAGGCCTTGTTAAGGAGTTTTTTGTGAGCTTTACTTCTTTGGAATGGAATATACATATGTAAAACCTTGTGACTCCTTGCGCCAATGTGAATTTGCCCCACCTACTCTGCAATTTTCTTGTTTGTTTTGAATATACAGAGCTTTGATCCAGAAGCCAGAGGATGGACTAAATGGGATAAATCAGAAAACAAAATGAATTCTGGATGGGGTACCACAATCACAGACACAGACACACTTTTCCTAACGTTGAAGCATTTATTCCCAGAATTTATCTTACTTTGCATTTCTTTTTGCACAAAGAACACATCCCCTTCCTGAATTCTTTAAATAGGAAATATCATTGCCAGGGTATGGCTTACAGTGACTACTATTATAATACTAAAACTCAGAGAATCAAAGATGGATTAAGCTCAGTGATTGATAATGGCCGGGTGCCGTGGCTCACACCTATAATCCCAGCACTTTGGGAGGCCGAGGCAGGCGGATCACAAGGTCAAGAGTTTGAGACTGGCCTGACAAACATGATGAAACCCCGTCTCTATTAAAAATACAAAAATTAGCCAGACGTGGTGGCGCACACCTGTAATCCCAGCTACTCAGGAGGCTGAGGAAGGAGAATCACTTGAACCCAGGAGGCAGTGGTTGCCGTGAGCCGAGGTTGCACCACTGCACTCCAGCCTGAGCGACAGAGCAAGACTCCATCTCAGAAACAAAAAAAACTCAGTGGTTGATGAAAGCCAAAACCCGTTTATACTGTTCTGTACTGTTCAGGTATCTTTTTATTTCTGATAGTTTTATATTATAATAGCCAGCCACTGCGTAGCTATTATATTCACCATTTTTCTCACTGTTAACATTAGGAAAATCAAGGCTACAATTGATTGTAGCCTTGGATTGTCTGGTTAAATAGTATGAAAAAAAAAAAAAGGAAAACTGAAGAGTTTCACATAATCATACACAAAAGAATTGAAGCTTAAACTGTATTTGTATTTCATTTTATTGTCAGATGGTGGCGTTCACCAGCCTATATCTTGTCTGAGACTGCATTTGTATCTCAGCATGTTTTCTACACCTGCTGATGTCAGTTCATATTAACCTTTATGCTTTTTCCCAGGATCTGCCAGAAAACTTGAAAAGTTTATTGCTTGTAGAGTTACTGCTTTGATTTTTGAAGTTGGGGTAGTATTTAGAACTAGATTTAACTAGTCTATAATGAACGTGAAGGCTTTTAAATGTGAAGTTGTATACCTTTTTTGTGTTTAGAATATTATGGGAAACCTGGTAAGCAAAACTTTTCTCCCAGATAATTGCTTCCAAATTCGAAGAGTTGGTCACCAAGAGAACCATATGTATGAAAGCATATCTGTGAAAGCTAGGAAATTTTAGCCCCCTAAGTGTAATGTGCTTTAGGCAGCTCTTGTAAATACAAAGACTTGTTTGGTCTCTTACACGTAGAGATTTGGTACAGTACATTGGTGTCTCCACCACTGCCCCTTCTCCCTGCTTCAAAATAAATGTAATCCATGGTAGCAGCCACACTTCCTTTAGAAGGAACTGTTATAATTTATTTAAAAGTTGAAAAACCACCTAAGATAACTATCAGCTTTCACTTTTTTTCTTCAGCCATCCACCCTAATTTTTCTATTAGCAACATTTTTAGATGTAACTTTCCTTCCCCCCCGCGGAGTATGTGCTTTGAGAAAACATTTCTTTAAAACTGTGTGTGCTACCTAAGGTTCAACGGGAAAGTGCAGTCTTGTTCCTCATATGTTAACGCACTTCTTACTAGCTTGCCACTCGCCTTTTTTTTTATTGTTGATGTTCTGAATTTCCTTTTCTTGGCTTGTTTCCACTTCATTTTACCCTGGGTCCTTTGCTTCCAGCAGTTTGTGAATGGTATCTTTCAAATAACTTAGTTCTTAGGGCTTCACTTAAGGACTGTCTCTCAAAAATACTTTGCTCTCTTCTTTTCTGTTCATGGGACATGGTACCTACGCAAATAGGAGTTGGGTTTGGTTTTTCTCCTAAAATAATGCTCAATACTTACCTAATCAAATGGCATCCATTTGAATAAAATGACAATAACTAAGTTAGTTAATGTCAGTGACATTAAACTGACTCCAGGATTCAGGAGTTTTAATGCTAGAATTTAGATTTAACAGATAGAGTGTGGCTTCATTTGTCCATGGTAGCCGATCTCTCCTAAGACCTTTTCTAGTCCGTCTTCCTGCCTTCGAATATGATGACAGTACCCTCTTTACTCTTCTCTTGTGTGCATTCGGTTTGTTGGTTAGCTGACTGTCTTGAAACTATTCATCTTGCTTCTACTTTATTTTACAGAGGTAGCATTGGTGGGTTTCTTGTGGTTTTTTTTTTTTCCTGTCTCTCCATGTTTCTAGTTTCAGTTTCTGTTTTCTAGGTGAGGCTTATTTTTCATGAGTAGTGAATGGCACAGAAAAAGTAAATCAAAGATGACTTCAAAATTTATTATTTAGCATTCAACTCAGATTAATTTATAAATTATTAATCTTGATACTCTTAAGGATTTGTTACTTTTCTGCATATTAGGTTAATTTTTACCTTACATGTAAGAGTTTTGCCACTAAGCCATTTTGTCACTGTCCTATTGGGAAGTTTTGGAAACTTCTGCCAGTGATGTGGTGATGATCTGATGATTTATTTAAAGAGCTGTTGATGCCTCAAGGAAACTTAAGTATTTTATTATTATATATAGGATTTTTTGGTTTTGTTTTTGTTTTCTTTGTTTTTCCCTCCCTTCTTTGTTCCTCATGTTCATTCTTCAAACCAGTATTTTGGAAGTATGCATGCAGGCCTATAAATGAAAAACACAATTCTTTATGTGTGTAGCATGTATATTAATGTCTAACTACATATGCAAAAACTTCCTTTGCAGAGGTTCGGGCTAACATTTCACATGCACATTTCAAAACAAAATGTGTCAGGAAAACAGCCCCTTTAACTGCCAAGACGAGCAGAGCTATATTTGTTTCAGAGACAGCTGATATTTGTTTTGAAACTGAATTGCATATATATATTACACATGATTATGACTAGAAGTATGTAAGAAATTATCAGAACAAAAGAAAACTTCTATTTTCATGCAAATATTTTTCATCAGCCATCACTCTCAAATATAAATGAAAATATAACACTCCTGAATGCCAGGCACAATCTGGATTTTAAATGTGTGGTATTCATTGAAAAGAAGCTAAATTTCTCCACCCACTTGGTATTTCAAGAAAATTTAAAACGATCCCAAGGAAAGATAATTTATATGTTAAAGTGACTATTTGTACAAGTAAAAATCCAACATTGTATGCATGAAAGGATTCCTTGGTTATGTGCGGGGAATCATCTCACATGCTGTTTTTCCTATTTGGTTTGACAAACAGGCTGACACTATTCTCTCTGATTAAAAAATAAACTCACAAAACTCATAATGTTGATATCAAGATGTAACCACTATACATACGTAGAAAAGGAAGTTTTAAAAGACCTTAGGCTGGCATTGTGAAGGAACAACATAATAGACTTTTTTTGTAAATTTATTTTGTATGTAATGAAATACAGTATAAAGGTTGGTGAAGTGTAATATAATTGTGTAAACAAACATCCTGTTAATAGAGAGATGTACAGATTCGTTTTGTACTGTATCCTGAAACTTGTGAAATAAAGATTCCACCTCTGGTTATCCTGTATGCTGTGATATACCACAACCAAGCACCTTTCCAGAGACTTCTTTTAAGCTTGAATGATTCTATTTTTTAATATTTTTGGAAATTCAGAAGCTTCTGAAAACATTTGGGAGCAGTTTGAATTCATCTTTCATTGTAAACTCCTGAAATTCAGATTTTTACAAGTCTGATACTGCCCAGAGAGAATATGAATTTGCTAAGAAATGTTACCGTCTTTTAAATCTCTGATACCTTTGTCTTGAAGCAGCCTGCGATATGTAGTAAGTGTGATTCACTTTATCCTGGTTATATTTATTTAGATTATAATTTATCTAAAGTTTGTTTATGCATCGCCTTGTCCCAGGAAGTTTTTAAGAGGGCTTGCAGAGACACATACAACACAATAACATTTATTTAGACTAAATATGCTCTGAGCAAAGAGGAGGTGACAAAATATTAAATCAGGAGTGAACCTGTACACAAAATGCGATTATAAGTGGGCTACAAATTTGGCCCCCAGCTTCCCAGCAGGCAACTGAGGTAACTGAGGTAAAATATTCCAGCTTAGAAGCCTTAGATCTTGGATAAAAAGCCTGCATGATGCCAATTGTATCAAGTGAGATGTCATATCTCCAGTTTTACTTGTGGGAGCTCAGTCAGTTACCTCAGATGGACTTGACTGACCTAAAAGTAGTGGAGGAAGTCAAATGTCAGAGCTTTAACACCAGCAAGTGACCATTCAACCTGGGCAATGCCTGTTCCCCATGTGGCCTCTTTCTGACAAGTTATTATCCTGGTCTTCATTGGCTGCAACTTCTTGAGCTATGCCTCTTTCCTAACTTCCTTTATGATGCTAATTAGAAGTATGCTTAAATTAAGTTACAGCAGATACACAGGTGCAAATTTTAAAAATAGAATTTCTGTAGTAGAAACTGAAAAAAAATATTTTACTTCTTGGATATTTTTCCGTGAATAAGAAAAAGCATTAGAACATATTAGTTCAAAAGGAGGTACTGCTGTGTAATGGGCTTTGTTCCTTCTCATGTCACTTATGCCACTACTTAGAAAGCCGTCAGATTGAACAAGCTTTTCATTAGATCCTGAAAATTTACCACCCTAGCAGTTGGTTAATACTAACCAGTATTAGATTTTGAGTAGAACTCTGATTTTCCTGGAGGCCAAATTCTTATCTGGGTTAATTTATTTTAAACATAATGTTAACACTGACTTGTATATTAAATCCCAATTTTAAAACCGCACAATTTTTTCCCAAGTAGGTTGAGTGGAATGTGGTTAGTTAACTGACTTGGGAATGTCCATATAAATAATGTGTTGCTGCCTTTGCCTCCCCTCTACCTCCCAGTATAACTTCGTAAATTCGCCTCTCTGACTTGGAAAAAATGTCTCAAAAATCTTGTAAGTGGGAGACATGAGATTCGGGTGTCCCAAGTAAGGATTTTAACTTCGAAAATGAATATGTCAGAGAGGTTTACACAATTCAAGATTGAAATGTGGGCAACAGAAACTTCTGTTCTTAGAAACATTTCAGAATGTAAAGGCGCAGCTGTGGGTTTCAGAGTCTGCACACCTGCGTTTCCCCACCCTCCCTCTGTGGCCATGCTGGCCAGTAGAAGCTTTTCTTAGGAAAATTTGATTAATTGAACTTTTTTTGTTTGAAACGCAATCTCCTGAAATGAGTAGAGACTAACGCCGGCTGTGCGTGCGTGTGAGTGCATGGCAGTGAGGAGTGGGGGACGTCCTCCAGCTGATTTTGTTTCCCTTAAGTCCTAATGAAGAATTTACGTGGATTTTCCAAACTGTACATGTATTTTCTTTTACCTACTATTTGGATAATGTTCTGTGGCTGGTAATGTCTTCCATCTTTTTTTTTTTTTTTTTTTTTTGAGACAGTGTCTCACTCTGTTGTCCAGGTTGAGTGCAGTGGCTCAATTAGACCCCACTGCAGCCTCAAACTTCTGGGCTCAAGAAATCCTCCCACTCCAGCCTCCTGCATAGCTGGGACTACTAGGGACCACCACAGCCAGCTATTTTTTTTATTTTTTAAGAAACAAGGTCTCCCTATGTTTCCCAAGTTGGTCTCAAAATCCTGGGCTCAAGCGATCCTCCCACCTCAACCTCCCAAAGTGCTGGGATTACAGGCGTGTGGCACCATACCCAACCCATCTTACATCTTTTAGTGCATGGAAATTTACTTACTTCCAGGACTTTGAGAGCTGAGAACAGCAGGCTATTTTCCTTATAGCCCTATTTGGACCCTAGCTGAAGTACGTGCTCTAAGTGAAAACACCCACACCGGGCCTGTGAAGAGCCATCCTTATTATTTCAAAAGGAGGAAAAAGTAATTGAAGCCTTAAGTTTGTGTAATTGGTGTCTGCATTTCATCACTCATTTGAGACTTAAAATTAAAGCCTCGTAACTAAACTTATGTTTTGTGTTCTCAGGTTAGCAAAACCAAAGAATCTGTTGAGTCTCACTGAACACAGTACAGTAAGTTAAGAAAGGACATTTGTGGCCTGGCACTGTGGCTCACGACTGTAATGCCAGCACTTTGGGAGGCTGAAGCAATTGGATCACAAGTTCAAGAGTTCAAGACCAGCCTGGCCAATATGGTGAAACCACATCTCTACTAAAAATACAAAAACTGACTGGGTGTGGTGGCGTGCTCCTGTAGTCCCAGTTACTTGGGAGGCTGAGGCAGGAGAATTGCTTGAACCTGGGAGGCAGAGGTTGGAGTGAGGTGAGATTGCACTGCGGCATTCCAGCCTGGTGACAGTGAGACTCCGTCTCATTAAAAAAAAATAATAATAAAACGAGAGAGGACATATTTGCCTTAGAAATGGAGGAGAGACCCATGAAGAGAGATGAAACCCCACCTTAACTACAGAAAAAGGAAACGGCATCCCATCTGACCTATTGCCACCATTTAAAGGGGCTTTTTAATTGTGAGTCACCATTTCAGTGCAGGCCATTATGACAAATCAGACAGATGCTACGGGAGAGATCTGGACACAGCCAACCACTGGATTCTCACCTGAGTTCTCCTGAGTTGCCCAATCCCTTCACAAAAGAGATTAGTGATGGTCAGTCCCAACCCCACTGAATGACCCTAAAATGCAAAGGAAAACGGGAAGGACGCCATAGGGAGAAAGTTCTGGACTGCAGTAGAGTTCTCACAGTGGGTGGGTGGCCCCAGACAAGCCACTCGCTCTACAGGGTTCTCATAAGCATCAGGAGACTGGGTGTTGGGGATGGTCCTTGAGGTCCTGTCCAGCTGTGGGAGGTCCTAAGTGCCAAAAAAAAAAAAAAAAAAATTGACTTTATTCCACTGACACCAGACTCTACAAGGCTTCCTGGTAGAAATGACAACATTCCACTGTCCTAAAATGGTTGGCTCCAAATAATGTATAAGCAAAGTTTATGTTAAAGAGATCAATATTAAATTTTATACATAAGGGGCTACACGTGGTGGCTCATGCCTATAATCCCAACACATTGGGAGGCTGAGGCAGGTGGATCGCTTACCAAAAAAAAAATTAGCTGGGCATGGTGGTATATGCCTGTGGTCTCAGCTACTTGGGAGGTTGGGAGGCTGAGGGGGGAGGATCACTTGAGCCTGGGAGGTGGAATTTGCAGTGAGCCAAGATCATTCCACTGCATTCCAAACTGGGTGACAGAGTGAGACCCCATCTCAAAAATTAAAAATAAAGTTTATAACATAAGGTTTTATTTGGGCATTCATTCAACAGCCTTTATCGCCTACTATGCTCCAGACTCTGAAGTGTAAAGTGAATTTAAAGATGAGTATGAATGAAAGACTGAATTGAAAGAGGCTGTTTTCCTCTGGGGGTCATCTTCACCATTGACTGAACACAATATGTGACAGACGCTAAGTATTTGACATGCATTATTGAATTTAATCTTAAATACGCCAGGATGTCAGTACTAGTCATGTCATTTTCATTTAACGGATGAGGAAACAGGCTTGGACAAGCTGAGCAAATTGCTCAAAGTCACTCAGCTTGTGTTAGTCACAAAACTCAAATTCAAATAAACTGGGCTGGGCATGGTGGCTCACACCTGTAATCCCAGCACTTTGGGAGGGCAAGGCAGGTGGATCACCTCAGGTCAGGAGTTTAAGACCAGCCTGGTCAACATGGCAAAACCTCATCTCTATTAAAAATACAAAAATTAGCCAGGCTAATGGTGGCACATGCCTGTAATCCCAGCTACCCCAGAGACTGAGGCAGAAGAATCACTTGAACCTGGAATACAGAGGTTGCAGTGAGCCAAAATCGTGCCACTGCACTCCAGCCTGGGTGACAAGAGTGAGGCTCCATCTCAAAATAAAAATAAAAATAAAAATAACTATCTTGGCTAAAAGCACTCAAGATCGGCCACACATAATGGCTCACGCCTGTAATACCAACACTTTGGGAGGCCAAGGTGGGCAGATCACGAGGTCAAGAGATCGAGACCACCTTGTCCAACATTGTGAAACCTCGTCTCTACTAAAAACACAAAAATTAGCTGGGTGTGATGGCACGTGCCTGTAGTCCCAGCTACTTGCAAGGCTGAGGCAGGAGAATTGATTGAACTCAGAAGGGGAGGTTGCAGTGAGCCAAGATTGCGCCACTGCAGTCCACTCTGAGTGACAGAGGGAGACTGTCTCAACAACAACAAAACCACCCAAGTTCTAAACTACTTTGCTGTCTCCTTAATGCAAGGTTTACAATGTAAACCAATGTAAAGTTTACACGGGAGTTATAAACACAGTGCCAGTGAAGGAACAGGAAAGGGTAACAACAAAATGAGCAACATTTCTCCCACGTGCGGGTCAACCTTGTCCATGCTCACAAGGGCTGTTCTATGCTTAGCGTGTGCTGCTAAAGCAGTGTTTGCAGACATCTGCTGCTTAACAGTAGTAAAGACATTTAAAAAAAAACATCTAGCGCACATTGGAGTTGGCTTGTCTCTGCTCCACCACGCTAGTATGAGG